CCCCATCAGAGACTAACCAAATATTTGGTGAGGTCCTCACCGAGATCTGTCTCAGGACAAAAAAAAAAGAAGTAAAATAAAATCGACTCTGTGATAAGAGACACTACCCGACCTTTTAAACACTCTCTCACTCCTCATTTCAGTGGTAAACTGTCGATTCTCAACACAACTGAACAGTTTTTAGTAGCAATTCTTATCCTGTTGAATGTTCTATTTTCTTTCTTTAATTTATTTTTTTTTTATCATCATGTACCGAAAAGTAACTTTTCAGGCACGCTTCGTGTCGCTTCACGTGCTGAAAAGTGACTTTCCCGCACAGTGCGAAGAGAATTATTGTCCGCAATTCGTGTAGAAAGTGGTTTTTGCCATGTGGTATTATTTCGGTTTATTATGTCGCCTTTGGCTCGTGCTATAAACCTCTCACACGCCGAAAATCAATTTTCCGCACTTGTTACGAAATATACTATTCTCTTGGAATGTGAAAATTATATTTGCGATTTATTCCTTATTATGACAGTAGAAACACAAAAATGAAGTTTGCTCGAGTCGAAATATCTCGAAAGGCGTGGGACTGATTCCTCATTGGTCGAGTCGAACCGCCAAATTCAAATTCGGCGCACGGACTGCGCAGTAGGTATCGTTACATTATAGTCCGTAATCCAGTGTTATCTTTCACTTTTACAATTACATTATCAATAATTCCAATAATTTATCACCAAAAATTACCAGATCATGAGAAATCGGAATCAGTTTACCTTTTCCTCAGTCAATATTTTCGCATAATTTCAAATCCGTTTTGAAAAAAATTACAAATGGAATGACTTGGGTGATACGATTTCGTATTCAATTAGTCGATGGAATAATCTTGCTGATGAACGTTGACTACCGGGAATCGGGGATGGGAAACATTGAGGTAGTTTCACGACAAAACGAAAAAAGGAAGAAAAAAAACTAAAAAAAAGAAGGAAAAATAATCATGTAGTGGTGGTGAACCGGTGTTGATGTGACTGAGAAAAAACTTGAACGAGGTTTATATTGT